CCAGTTCCCAGTTCCCAATTCCCAATTCCCAGTTCTCAGTTCCCATTCCCAGTTCCCAGTTCCCATTCCCAGTTCCCATTCCCAGTTCCCATTCCCAGTTCCCAGTTTCCAATTCCCGTTCCCAGTTCCCATTCCCATTCCCAGTTCCCATTCCCAGTTCCCAGTTCCCATCCCTCATTCCCAGTTCCCATTCCCAGTTCCCATCCCCCATTCCCAGTTCCCATTCCCAGTTCCCATTCCCAGATCCCATTCCCAGTTCCCATTCCCATTCCCATCCCCCATTCCCATCCCCTATTCCCAGTTCCCATCCCCAGTTCCCATTCCCAGTTCCCATTCCCATTCTCATCCCCTATTCCCAGTTCCCATTCCCCCATTCCCATTCCCATTCCCCGTTCCCATTCCCAGTTCCTGTTCCCAGTTCCCATCCCCATTCCCAGTTCCCATCCCCTATTCCCATTTCCCATTCCCAGTTCCCATTCCCAGTTCCTGTTCCCAGTTCCCAGTTCCCATTCCCATTCCCATTCCCCATTCCCATTTCCCATTCCCATCCCATTTCCCATTCCCCATTCCCAGTTCCCAGTTCCCATTCCCAGTTCCCATTCCCAGTTCCCATCCCCCATTCCCATCCCATTTCCCATTCCCCATTCCCATTCCCAGTTCCCATTCCCAGTTCCCATTCCCAGTTCCCATTCCCATTCCCAGTTCCCATTCCCAGTTCCCATTCCCAGTTCCCATCCCCCATTCCCATTTCCCATTCCCCCCAAATTCCCATCGGGAATGCGGCTCCGGAGGGCGAAATTTCCGCCAGGAGCAGGAAAGGGGACGGGAATTCATTTTTATTTTCCCGTTCATTTTTCCAGAGCCGAGGCAGCGGGGGCGGGAATTCCATTCCCATTCCCAGTTCCCATTCCCATTATCCCATTCCCCATTCCCATTATCCCATTCCCCATTCCCATTCCCAGTTCCCCTTCCCAGTTCCCATTCCCAGTTCCCATTCCCATTATCCCATTCCCCATTCCCAGTTCCAGTTCCCATCCCCCGTTCCCAGTTCCCAGTCCCCATCCCCATTCCCAGTTCCCATTCCCATTTCCCATTCCCATTTCCCATTCCCAGTTCCCATCCCCCATTCCCCATTCCCCCCAAATTCCCATCGGGAATGCGGCTCCGGAGGGCGAAATTCCCGGAATTCCGCCAGGAGCAGGAAAGGGGATGGAAAAACCCCTCTGGAATTCATTTTTATTTTCCCGTTCATTTTTCCAGAGCCGAGGGAGCGGGGGCGGGAATTCCGCATGGATTTGGGGGGAAGGGGCTGGGAATCCCGTGCCTGCTTCCAATTAAATCCCAATTAAATCCCAATTAAATCCCAATTAAATCTCTTCTCCGGCCCCTCGGAACTTCTTCCCCATCCCAAAAAAATTTTGGGAATTTTTTGGTGTTGGGGGGAGCTTTTCCCAAATCCTCCCGGTTTCCCAAATCCTTCAAAGGATTCCTCGCTGAGGGGAAAATAAAATATCCCAAAAATCGGGGAGGGGGAAAAAAATTCCTAAAAATGGGGAAAATTCCTCAAAATCCAGGGGGAAAAATTATCAAAATTTTTTTGGGGGGAATATGCTCAAAATTGGGGGCGAAAAGTCCTAAAAATGAAAGGAAAAAGTGACAAAAATGGGGAGAAAAAACCCCAAAATCGGGGGACAAAAAGTGCCAAAAATGGGGGGAAAGAATCACAAAAATGGGGGAAAAAATCGGCAAAAAGGGGGAAAAATATCCCAAAAATGGGGGGAAACATCTGCAAAAACGGGGAATAAAAATTCCCAAAAAATCGGGAAAAAATCCGCAAAAATAGGGGGAAAAAACCTAAAAATGAGGGAGGAAAAGAAAAAGCCCAAAAATGAGAAAAAAATCCCCAAAAATGAGAAAAAAATCCCCAAAAATGAGAAAAATGTCTGGAAAAATAGAGGGAAAAAAATTTAAAAATGAGGGGAAAAAAATCGCAAAAATGGGGGGAAAAAATCCAAAAATGAGGGGAAAAAAATTGCAAAAATGGGGGAAAAAAATCGCAAAAATGGGGGAAAAAAATCGCAAAAATGGGGGAAAAAAAATCACAAAAATGAGGGAAAAAATCGCAAAAATGGGGGAAAAAAATCGCAAAAATGGGGGAAAAAAATCCAAAAATGAGGGAAAAAATCCCAAAAATGGGGGGAAAAAATCCGAAAAATGCGAAAAAACCCCGCAAAAATCGGGAATAAAAATCCCCAAAAATCGGGAAAAAAATTCCAGAAATTGGGGGAGGGGGAGTTTGTGTCCCC